ATTTACGGAGAGAAATTATGCATGCACTGGCAAGTTGGTTTGTGGTTATTTTAATCATAAAAGACAAAATAGGTTATTTTAGCCACAACAAACCAAACATCACATCCAACTCATAATTATTACACTCTTCTCTCACAAAAAAAAGTCAAAAAAGTCAAAAAGTCATTCCCAAATTAAACTTTTTAGTCCAAACTAAAATAGTTAAAAAAATTAAAAAATTAAAAATTTAAAAAGTCAACCTATTTCCCAAACAGATGCTATATATAATATTGGTGGAATGATTGAGGATGAGGATGTGTGTGGGTTGGGTTTGTGTGGCTATTTGAATTCATATTATATCTGATGATTATCTATTCAAATTGATACAATTTAAAAGAGAGGAAGTGGGTCCAGGTGGAACTACCTGGCTAATTAGTGTTTATGAATCATATTATATTTGTGTTGGTTTGAAAATTTATACAGAAAGTGATGATGATTTGAGAGCACCTCTCATATTTTAAAATATGGGATTTGAGTTGACAAAAATGTCCCTCTATCTAAAAAAGCATACTATAAATGTATTAGGTTATAATCATTGATTAGCTGGCTCACTTGAGCTTCATCACATCTTATATCACTTTATTTATTGCAGTTCATAGAGGCTGTTTATAATTTTTTTTTATTATAAAAAATGTGTGTTTTAATATTTGCATAGTTTCTATTTATAATTTATGAGATAAAATTAATTTAAATAAATTAAAAGAAACATTTTTACTCTCTGACTATTTTCTTCCAATTTGTAAAAAGTTAGTGTTTTAAAAATGTAAAGTGTAGTTTTGTCTTTTCACATATTTCCTACAACTTATGAAAAAACATGCATGGGTAGCCAAATTGCCAAATTAAATAAATAAGTAAATAAAATGTTATATAAATAAATAATTTATATTAAAATTTAAAAAATAATGATATTTCTTTTCATTTCAAGCAAAACACGCATTATTGTGATTCAAAATTATAAAAATATTACTATCACGTTAATTACATTTTAGTAGGACAGTGAAAAATATAATTACACTACAAATAAAATATTTCTTAGGCTATGTTTGGCATAAATTTTTTAGGCGAAAATAACCACAAAAAGGTAAAATAGGTTAAAAGGTCAATAAGACAAAATGTGACATGCAAACCATAATCATTTCATTTTTTTTCTCATAAAAGTCAAAAAAAGCAAAAAATCAATCCCAAACGAGACTTTTTAACTCCAAATAAATAGCCAAAAAACCAATCCACATCCCAAACGAAGGCTTAATACAATCCTGACATATAAAAAAAACTTACATCATATGCATAAAAAAACTTGCACTTCATAAAAATAAAAATATTTGTTTATTACTCCACACATTTAAATTTTTCCTTAGTTTTATCTATGAAAAAAAACATACATATATATATATATATAAATAAAAATAGACAATGTGGGGTTGGGGTTGGGATGAGCTGTCCAAATGCATTAGATGCTTTTTATCTGATGCTCACCTGCCTGTCATCTGGCACACTGGACTCGCTCTCCATATTCACCGCACATCAAATTTTGTTTGGTTTAAATTTTTTGAATTTAATTATTTAGAAATTAAAATTTTTATTTTAAATGTTTTTTGATTTTTATGAAATTTTTTAGTATTTTAAATAATTTTTTTAAGTTTTTAGATATACTTAATATAAATATAATTAAAACGTATATTATTTGTGAAAAAATCTTTACAAAATTCACTAAATACCAAAAATATATTAAAAAAAAATTCAGTATATTTTTGTATTCTTGTTTATTTATTAATTTTTAATTTTTTTTTTATAAATATTTTACATTTTAGGTTCATTTAGGTTAGATACATCTAAAAAATAAAAAATAAAAAATTAAATTTTCAGAAAATTAAATTTAAAAAATTAGTACCAAGCAAAGTGATTCTATTCTATATATCTTGTTATTTTCCCTACCAATTTTATTATTGGTTCTACATTATTTTAGAGGGGAAATAAACAGCATTTTGAATTTGAAAATTTAAAAAAATATATTTTTAACAACTCCCACCTAGCATTTTTTTTGAGTTGAGGGTTTCATGAAAAAGAGGGGAAAAGGTAGATGAAAATGTGTGGTAGATGGTGGTAGTTAACAAAGGGCTGTTCTTCTGCACTTTCTGCCCTGCTACTGTAGCTCTTCTCTGCACAATGCAGTTTTAGAGAGAGGAGTAACTCATTAGAGAAATAGTAGTACGTATTGAAAAATATTTTTCTTAAAAAAATTGATTGATAGTGCATATTTAAATTTGATGATAAATAAACGATAAGGTTACTCATTTTCAAGATTCTTATATTTAAAAATTCTTATACAATTTAACAACTGTAAATAAATTAGGGGAAAAAAACTGAGACAGAAGATTATTAATGAAGAACCTCCAGTAACCAATAGACTATTCTGGTACACTTTTAGGAGTTGTTTGGCATGACAGATTTTGGCTAAGAGCAAGGTTAAAGATCTCAAAAATTCTATCAGTCTTACATGAATGTAGGACCCACACAATGTGGGTCTCATGTGGGTTTCACATGAGACATTTTGTAGAATTTTTGATAAAATTTTTGAAATCTCTAGCATTTTTGTTGGCTAAAGGATTGTTTTGAGAAGTTAGTTAAAAGTTGACTTTTTAACTTTTTTTAAAAAAAATGTGTAAAAAATAGAGAGTTAATGTGATCCAAAATAAGTTAAAAATCAAAATTTGGCTTTAACCAAGTTCCCAGATTAGCTTATAAAAAGACAAAAAAATTAAAATAATTAATAAGACAAAATGTCACATCCTACATATCAATCAATTATTTTTTTTTCTCACAACCATCTATTCAACTATAAAACAAATTCACAAATCATCTAAAACCTGACTTTCATCTCATAAAATAGTTAAAAAACTAATTAAAATAGTCAAATTTTCAAATAAAGTATTATTTTTTATTATAACTTTTTTTTTATTTTTTATTTTTTGTTTTGGGGTGTTGGTATTAGCTTGTGAATATGTATCGTTAAACCTTTTTAAATGATTTTAACATAATTATCTTGATATTTATAAAATTCTCTTACTGATAGAAAAAAGAAAAACATAAAAAACCCACCATAATAGAGTATTTGGATAATTTGGATGTTACCTATATAATTTTTTACCAATTCAAAGTCGATAATAAGAAAGATAGAAGTAAAAAAACTCATATATTTTTCTTTAAATAATTAACTTATTTAAGTTATTTCTACTTAATAGTATAAGCGAATCTGCACCAAATAGTATGTAACACACTTTCAAAACAAAAAATATAAATAATTTTTATATAAGTTGCACTAAACAATCTCATGGTATAATGGGGCACTTTGGTAAGCTGAGCTTTTGGCTTTTAACTCATTTTGAATCACATTATCTCTCATATTTTTTACTTACAAAAAGACAAAAAAAATTCAAAAAGTCAGTTTTTAACTAACTTTCTAAAATTGTGTATATAACATTAAGGTCTTTAATGGCACAAAACGATGATAAAATTTGAAAGATTTCAAATATTTTTCACATATTTTAAAAATAATTTGAATAATAAGTAGTGATATCCAAACAAAAAATTTATATAAAAAAATTAGGTTAATTTTTTTCAAGTTTAAAAAAAAATTATTATCTATTTTTTAAAAAACAAACGAGTTAAATTGAAAATGTTGTTATTATTGGATAAACTTATAAATTGAAAATGTTGTTATTATTGGATAAACTTAAGTTTTTCCATAAATAAAATAAATGAAGAATTTTATAAAATGAATAATTTAAATCATTAAGATGAGTTCTTGGGACTCGAATAGATCTCTCTTAAATTTGAACTTGAAACAAATTCAACACAATATAATGGGTGATCATTCGGTAGTCTAAAAGTACGGTCACATGGTACTCCGTGTTAGTATAATTAGTAGAGAAGATGAAATATTAATTATTTATGTTGGGTGATTGAAGAATGTGAGGGACATAATAAATAATAATTAGTGTTAAAATATGGTCACCTGATGCTCTAAAACTATTGTATAATTTTCCTAATATAACATACTGCATAAAACCTTTTACATGATTAGACAATAATTTTCCTATGACCTTCATAACTCTTTTAACATTTTCCACATGTACAAAGTTTTTTCACGCCAAATTCAATATTAAGCAATGTACAAAAACACTTGTTACCATTTTCCATAACATTAACAGTAAAGTAAAAATAAAGTAGTAGTAATAGTAACACAACAACGACAAAGACAAAGACGAAGACTCCGTTAAATAGAATAAAATGTTATATTTAATTTATAATTATTTTATTTTTTTTCTTAAAAAAGTTTTAAAAAGTCAAAAAAACTTATTCAAAACGAAATTTTTTTGCCTAAACTAAAATAACTAAAAAATAAAAAAGTTAAAAACTCAATCCACATTCCAAATGAGCTCAAAATGGCCTGTTTTTGAAAAATATGTTAAAAATTAAAATTTTAATTATTTTTATTTTTTTTAAGAAACCTTTTAAAAAAATAAACAAATGAAATAACTCAAAAAAATTAAAACAAAAATGTTTGGAACCTCCATTTGGGAATAACCCCATACCCTCAAAATAATCTTCACCCTCTATGCATGTGTAGGGCCCACTCATGTATGTATGTAGTCTACATCATGAGTAGTCCAGATTTGTGGGAGTCTTGTGAGATAGAGATCTCAATCATTGCTCAAGTTAAGAAGCCACTTTTTTAACTTTTAGACTTCATTTGGAAAATAACTATTTTAATTAAAAAAATCACTGTAAATTATCACATTACTTTCTTTAATTTTTTCCATATATTTTCATAAAAAACCAAAATAATTTATTTTCAAACCAACCCTTAATCAAATTGCCAAAATAGGCTGAGGATCATTTGTAACATTCCCTCTTTACTTACTCCTATCCTAGACTAGAAAAAGAAGACCCCACGAGCGGCTTCTGCTACTTTTCTCTCAGGTCCCCGCCTGCTTCCCCCCTCTCTTTCTCTCTCTCTCTCTCTCTCTTCCAAAACTTGAGAGTAAAGAAAGAAAGAAAAATAACAGTCAATCACAACCCCACAAACTCCTAGTCCCAGTTAGGTCCCCAGACTTTAAAAAGCCTTTTCTCTCTCTTCTTTCTCTGCTTTCTCTCTCTAACAGGAAAGAGGAGGAGGAAGTGTGGTGGAAGAGAGTGGTGGTGGTGGGGTGGGGATGGCCTGGTTGATCATCATCATTCATCAGCAAAGAAAGAAGAAAAAAGCAACAAAGAAAGATCACCTTTGAATTTCAATTTCAATTTCAATTTCAACCAACCCACAAACAAACCCCACCCAAAAAAAAAAAAAAAAATATTCCTGACAAAATACATACCCATTAAAAAGCCCCACACATGGAACTTACAGATATGCAAGGCAATAAACACAGCACCACCACCACACCCACCACTTCTCAATCCCACCACCACCTCCACCATCACCTTCACTCTGGTTTTGATGGCCGATCTCATCATCAACCTCCATTCATTGGCTCCATCTCCATCCAAGCTGGCCTCACAAGCACCGCCGGCGGCGGAGGTGGAGGAAGTGGATCTTCCTCTGTTTCACCATCTACCTCCTCTACTAACACTTCAACCACCTCCACCACCACCACACAACTTCCGCCGCTGCAGCTCGTCGACGCCTCGCTAGCCATCGCCACCAGATCCGAGGGTCTGGCCGCCGTAGATCCCTCCAAAAAAGCCAATAACCAGCTGCAATCGCCACCGCAGCAACTAACAATCGCCACCGTGCCTCCCAAGAGGTCCACCAAGGACCGCCACACCAAAGTCGACGGAAGAGGGCGGCGCATCCGAATGCCGGCGACCTGCGCGGCTAGGGTTTTTCAATTGACGAAAGAATTGGGGAATAAATCTGATGGGGAGACAATTGAGTGGCTGTTACAGCAGGCGGAGCCGGCGATTATCGCCGCCACGGGCACCGGCACAATTCCGGCGAACTTCTCGACCCTCAACGTGTCGCTACGGAGCAGCGGATCGACGATTTCAGCGCCGCCGTCGAAGTCAGCGCCTCACTCGTTTCACGGCGCCTTAGCCCTAGCCCACCACCACTACGAAGAAGGGTTCTCTCACATGTTAGGGTTTCACCACCACCAGCAACAACAACAACAACAGCAGCAGCCTCATCTTTTGACCGCCGATCAAATTGCCGAAGCCATGCCTGGCGGTGGCGGCGATGGAAGTAATTCGGCGGAGAATTATTTGAGAAAGAGATATAGAGAAGATTTGTTCAAAGAAGAATCGCAGCAGCAACCTCAAGGGGAAGTATCGGAGTCTACTTCGCCTTCGAACAAGCAATTCAAAGGCGGTAATATGCAATTGCCGAAGCAACAACAAGAAGCCGGACCATCATCCAGTATGCTTCGGCATACTAACATGATGCCCGCCACTGCCATGTGGGCAGTGGCTCCGGCTCCCAGCAGTGCAGCCGGCAGCACATTCTGGATGCTGCCCGTCACTGCTGGTGGTGCAGGTGGCAGTGCCCAATCTCTGGCCGCTGCCACCGGCACATCTCCATCTGAACCTCAGATGTGGCCCTTTGCCACTGCGCCAACAACGAGTGGAAACACGCTGCAAGCACCGCTGCATTTTATGCCGAGGTTTAACATCCCGGGGGCATCACTTGAATTTCAAGGGGGAAGAGCCAGTCCATTGCAATTGGGTTCCATGTTAATGCAACAACAACAACCACCACCTTCTCAACATCTTGGGTTGGGAATGGCTGAGACTAATTTGGGCATGTTGGCTGCTCTCAATGCTTACTCGAGAGGTGGTTTGAATATGAATTCTGAGCAAAATAATCCATTGGAGCATCACCATCATCATCAACATCAACATCAACAACAACACCAGTCTCAAGCTACTGATAGTGGAGAGGATGACCCAAACAGTTCTCACTGACAAATTTGAAATTAAAGTTGGTTAGTTGATCTCAATTCATACATTTAATAAATTTATTTGAAATTTTGAATTAATAGGGTTTAGAACTGAAGAATGATGGGTTTGTTTTTGCAGATTTTGAAGTTGAATTTGTGATGATGGGTTGAGTGGCTGATCAACATAGAATAGAGGTATCGAGTTCTCATTTTAGTTTTGTTTTGTTTTGTTTTGTTTTTGTTTTTGTTTTCTGTTTTGGTTATTTTTGTTAAGATTGTTGTGGAGGATTTGAGATGTAATTTGTTAGTTGGGTCTTGAAGTGAGGAAAGAGAGAGTGTGATTTGTATAGGAGGATATTGGTTTGTATTTAGTATTATTATAATTTGCTTTGTTTGTATGATGAGAAAGTGGAAAAAGGAAAATGAGAGAAAATTCAAATAATTTCAGGGTTTACTTTGCAAGATATGTGTTCTACTTTTCATAACAAAGTCTAACACGTTCTTTTTCTCATCCATGAAAATTGTGAACAAAACTAAAGGGTCGTTTGGTTGCAGAAAATTGGTTTTACTTTTCAGAAAATCAATTTTTTTATTTTTATATTTAGTGATTTGTTTTAATATTTTACATAATTTTTTAATTTTTTTGATATATCTAATCTAAAAACGCTTAAAAAAATAATATTTGTAAAAAAAAATTTATCAATCAACTCATGTCATATATGAAGATTCTTCCTATGTAGTTATCTAACAGAAAAGGATATGAAATATGTAGTTATCTAACAGAAAAGAATTTGTCATATATAACTACATATGACATGTCCTATATAAAGATTCTTCCAATAAATACATACACATCTATATGAACAAGAGTTTAAAAACAAAAGGAATTAAAACTTCGAGTATGATTTGGTTGGTTGAAATACACATATCTATATGAACAAGAGTTTTTTTTTTTTTTTTTTTTTTTTTTTTTTTTTTTTTTTTTTTTTTTTTTTTTTTTTTTTTTTTTTTTTTTTTTTTTTTTTTTGGAGGAGTGATTGAGACCCCTCCAATCACCACCCCTACCACCCCACACACACGTGACGGGTAGTGATTGGAGGACAAAGGAAAAAAAAAAATTCAACCAATAAGAGAGAGAAGGGGTAAAGGGGTGGAAAAAAAAATGTCTTAAGACATTTTTATTTTTATTTTTTTTTTGACATTTTTTTTAACGGACATAATTTTTTGGACATTAAGGATTTGATGCTGCTCGTCCTGGGGAGTGTCCCGGGAAATTACTCTTTGTATTAGCGATAAATTGTTTATATATAAATTTTTTTTCCCCTCCAAATATACATCTATATCTATACTATACATTAAGTAAAATGAGATTTTTAACCCTCATGATTTGTAGGAGTTCTAATATTCCAATCCTAATTTTTTAATTTTTTGATTTAAAAAAAAAATCTCAGCATTTATTAATTTCTCTCAATTCCCATGCCTTTTGGGAGATTTGGTCAAAACATCCTCATAATTAAACTTTAATGCATTAAAGACCAGCATAAACAAAATTTCTTGAAAATTTCAACACATCTATCCATCCATATTATATTATCTATATCTATATCTATATTATATATTAAGCAAAAGGGGGTTTTTAACCCCTAAGGCTTGTGGGAGTTTCAATATCTCAATCTGAATTTTCTAAATTTTTTATTAAAAAAAAAAACTCAGCATTTATTGATTTGGTCAAAATTCTCTGATCAGCATTTATTAACTTTTTTCAATCCACATGTCTTTCCACATGCCTGCATTTATTGATACAATCCCCTGATCAGCATTTTAAATTCCCTTATACATACAATACGTGTATAACTACTGCAGTACCATTTTCAACTTCTTACATACACTATGGTTAGTGATAAGATTGTTAAATTATTTTTATAAAAAATCTTAAAAGCATAATTTATATATTAAAAAAATTTAAAACAAATATAAATATCTATAATTATCCCGTGCATAGCACGGGTGATAGGGTAGTATTATATAAGAAAAATAGAGTTTTTAACCCACAAGCCTTGTAAGAGCTTCAATATCTCAATCTTAAAGTTTGTTTCGTTTGTAATTCAAACCATGATTTCACACCTATTATCAACCTTCTGTTTGCTTACAGTTTTCAAATCATAATTTCAAATCAATTTCAAAACACATTTTGAAAACATATTTGGCAAATCAGAAAATTTTTCAAGTTTGATCTAACCAGTCGTCCGTCCGGACATCCGCCTAGACAATTTCTGAATTTTTAGGTCTACTCGGACATTCGGCTGGTTAACCGAAATAGTTTTTTTTTTTTTTTTTCAATTGGGCTAATTTTTTTTTTTTTGTTTTTAATGTTGGCGTATAACATGTTTGTGTTTGGACCTTTTTTTAGTGGGCCTTTTTATTTTGGAGGGCCTCTAACAATAATTGGCCTTTTCTAAAACTTAATGGTATAAAGGATTTTCAAAATTTAGGGCCCTATTTTGGGCTAAAATTTGGGGGCCCTAGGTGCAAGTTAAATAAATAATATTTTCAGAATTTTTTTAATTTTTTAAATAAAAAAATTATTTTTGTCAACAATTATTTTTTTGAATTAAATTTTAAAAAGAGTTTGATTATGAGTTTTGAATAGAATTTTCAATAGAGTTTTAAGTTGTGTGTTTAGTTATGAGTTATAAGTTTTTGAATTAAATTTTGAAAACTCTTTTCAAAACTCATAATCAAATAACTTTTCACAAATTTAACACTCATTTCAAAAATTCAACAGTCAATTCAAAATTCAATTCAAAACTCTTTTCAAAACTTATAACCAAACAAATTTTCTCTTTTCAAATCATAATTTCAATACTCACAAATTCAAAATATGACTCCACACTCTAATTATAATTCTAAACACAAACCAAACGCAAACTTAATTTTCTAATTTTTTGCTTTAAAAAAAAAATTCAACATTTATTCGCTTCTACCAACCCACAAACATTTTTAACTTCTTTCATACTTACTATAGAACCTTTGTCAACTTCTTCCATACACTATGGTTAGTGATGGAATTGTTAAATTATTTTTATAAAAAAATCTAAAATAAATATAAATTCTTATTAAAAAAATAACATGTTGCAATTGCAAAAAAAATTTAAAAAAAATTATACCATGCATTTCATTAAAAATGTTCAAAAAATGTACTAAGTGTTTGTTTAAAGACTTGACACGTATCTATCCCCAAATTATGAAGTGAATATAGATGAAACCAAAGAATTCAGCTTTAATTGCTAACAAATGTAAGAAACCTGATTATTGAAGCCTAATAACTATTAATTAATAGAAATCAATAATTGAAATGTCTCAAACCACATCTCTTTATCTTCTCAATATTTTTTTTTTTTTGGTTCATTCATTCATTCTAATATTGATAGTGAATTGGACGTATGAAAAAGTAACAGACATTAAAATCATATATTGAGTTATGTAATTGTTGTGATGAAAAATAAAGGTTGTCTTCCCCTTATATGATGATTTATCTAGTTATACCTCCAATTAAAATGTCAGGTGTACTTCTACATCATCATTAAACATTACTTTCACAATTGTTTGTGTTTTTGTATTATGAAATTTATTACATCTATGTTTGCTAAAACTATTATTAGATGGACCTAATGCAAAAAATGCAAACTATTTCAATGTCATTCACGAAATTAGAAGTACAAAAAACATATACAAAAAGTATATAAATTGACAAGATTTTATAAAATTTGTTTGTGAGTCTCACTTTTTGAAAATCTTATAATTCATTTATTTTTTGTATTATATTTTATATTTGGTTTCTATATTTTTTTTAAATAGTTTTATTTGTTTTCTTTAAAAGTGTATTTTTAAAAATTAATAAATAAATAAATCATTTTCTATTTCAAACAATTTCATTTTTGTTTTTATTTTTTCTTAAAGTAGTTTTAGTTTTAGGCAATTACTTACCTTTTTTTTCTCTATATTGTAATTTTGTACATTTTAAGTGTATGATATTTTCATTAATACACTCGGAGATGTACTATGAAAGAAGTATCATATGAAAATCAAATAAGAAGAAAATAAACAAATAAAACAATACGATGAATGTAGAGTAAAGATCAAATATCAAGACTCCCAAAGCAAGCAAGTAAACAAATAAGCAGTAGAATAGAATGTTCAACAATAAATATTTGAAAATTTGTAACAAAATTTTTTTACTTTTCTTTTTGCTAAGAAAATTCTATTTAGTACTAGCTAAATAAAATGTTTTTAAAATAGTTTTTTTTTTTAAATTTGAAATTAAAACTATAGTAAATTTATGTAAGCATAATTGCTAGTAACATTTTTTTTTTTGCTTAATGTATAATATTATATTGACTACCTTTTTCATGTTTATTTTTTAAAATATTTATATAGAAGTAAAAAAATGTTGTTAGGAATAAATTTTTTCTTAATTTAGTTATAAATTTTGCCCATACATTATTTTTAAATTTTGAATAAAAGCAAACATAAAATAATTGATTAAAGATATGCTGCATTTGTTATATTCATTTTTCTGTGTGCAAAATAAAAAAATTAAAAATCATAATTCACATATATACAAATAATTGTAAATACAATCCATGTATAGCATAGGTGGAACACTGGTTTTTTCTATAGGGAAGTTACATGTAGGTCTTAATTGGTGAATTTATTGTCTAATAGTTCTTATGATAATTAATGACATCTTTTATCAAATACTATTAAAAAATGTCATTGATTATTAATTTTCAGCAACATTTTAAAAATTTTGTCATAAAAAATTTCACTCATTATAACTTTTATCACCCGTTTAACAAAATTATCATAAAAAGCTGTCACTAATTTTTAATTTTCAACGGCAATTAAAAAATTCGTTATAGAACAATATCACTAATTGCATGTCTCAGTAACAATTTATTAAAATTGTGACAAAAAAAAATCACTAATTATTATTGTTTAGCGAGATATGCAAAAAATCATGAATAGTTTATCCTTTTTGTATTTAGTTAGGACCAATTTTCTTTTTTAGTTATAATATTATTTTAATTATAACTTTTGAGTTCTTATATTTCATGTTATGCTTTATGACCTTTTTTTTAAATTATAACTCAAAAAATTAAAATTATATTATTAATTTTTTTTAATTATAAAATGCGTATTTGCGCTATAGTGTTTCCTTAAAAACTATTTTACAAATATATATATATATATATATATAACACTAATTTGTCAATGGCATGCAATAAAGTTTCTACAATCAGTAAATTAAAAATATTTTAAAATTTTACTTAAAATATGATTTGTCTGTTATGATTTTAAAAATTACATTTTACTTTTTAAAGTTTTTAATTTCATAATAAATTATTTATTTTGTTAATAAATATTCAAGTTAATTAATAGTTTTTAATAATGTTAGATGTTTATTTTAATTAATAATTCAAGTAATTTTATCATTGTATAAAAAAAACAATTAACAATTTTATTTTTCAGCTAATTCTATTAAATAAAAATTTTTGACAAGTGAGTATTTATAATTTTTTAAACTATAGGAGACAATTCCTATTTTAAGCAAGTTTTAAAAATATATTTATAATTTATCATTTTAAAAATCAAAACAACACACATTTCAATAATTTGTCATTTTAAAAATCAAAACAATAAACATTTAAATAATATAATATGTCACATTGATAGATAAAAAAAGATAAATTATATGAAGCTATTGGGATAATTACACAAGCCTCTCATAAATTATATAATTATACAATATTTTTACTAGATGTGCAACTTGGATAGACTCAACTCGAGCAACCCGAATTCAGTTTAAATTTTTTTAAGGCTTGGACAAGATATTTTCAAATTTGGTATGGGTTTGGGCAAAAATTCAGAAGTCCGAATTAAATTTGGGCGGGTTTAGGTAAAAAAGTCAAACAACCCGAAACCCGAATTATACATATATAGATATATAAAAATATTAAATATACTGTTAAAACCTATCACCTACTTCACCCACTTAAACCTACTCCACTAAACCTAACCCACTACACCACTACCACCTCACCTACTCCATTACACCTAACCCACTACACCACTACCACCTCACCTACTCCATTACACCTAACCCACTACACCACTACCACCTCACCTACTCCATTACACCTAACCCACTACACCACTACCACCTCACCTACTCCATTACACCTAACCCACTACACCACTACCACCTCACCTACTCCATTACACCTAACCCACTACACCACTACCACCTCCACTTCACCTACTCCTTACCTACTACACACTCACCCTCTTCTATATATAGGAATCATGAATCATTGTAATAAATAGAACATTAATATCAATCAATAATACAATCAATTTATTCTCTCTCTTTTCCTATACAGTAATTCTAACATGGTATCAGAACAAGGTTAAAGATCTTGGTGTTCTTCGCCTTCCGGCGGGCGGCAACCTTGCCTTGACCGCCCGCCGGAGCTCAACCAATTCAAACCTCCCTCTCCCTCTCAGCACATCACTTTCTCTCTCTACAAATTTCTCCGTCCGTTTATCTCTCTACCCCTTTGTCTCTCTAAGTTTTAGGGTTTTGAGTGTGAGAGAGATGGGGCAACAGTCTTTGATCTACAGCTTCGTGGCTAGAGGAACAGTGGTTCTCGCCGAATTCACCGAATTCACTGGAAATTTCACGAGCATCGCTTCTCAGTGCCTCCAGAAACTCCCTTCCTCCAACAACAAGTTCACCTACAACTGCGATGGCCACACCTTCAACTATCTCGTCGAAGACGGCTTCACTTATTGTGTCGTCGCTGTGGAATCTGCTGGCAGACAGATTCCAATGGCATTTCTTGAACGAGTTAAGGAGGATTTCACCAAGAGATATGGTGGTGGAAAAGCTGCAACTGCTGCTGCTAATAGCCTGAATAGGGAGTTTGGACCCAAACTTAAGGAGCAGATACAGTACTGTGTGGATCATCCAGAGGAGATCAGCAAGCTTTCCAAAGTAAAGGCTCAGGTTTCAGAAGTCAAAGGAGTGATGATGGAAAATATTGAGAAGGTTTTGGATCGTGGAGAAAAAAAAAAAAAAAAAAAAAAAATTAGAATTTAAAATTTTGATAGGTTTGATAATTGTCATATGAATATTTTCTTCATAATTAAAAAGTTAACTTTTTGAATATTTTTACTTAATTTTTTACCCCAAGACAAATGGGGACGCTATTTCATGCGATTATTGTATTAATTTAAGGACTAAATATCAATAAATCTTAAAATATGATTTTATAAGTTATTTAATTTTTTATTTTTTTTTATGAATTTAAAAATCTTATTAAAGTGAAAATTATATAAAAGGATAGTCATTTACATATTTAGTACAATTTTTTAGGAATAAAAATAAATTTTTCAAAATGTAAAATTACACATTTAGATAATTTGAACTGTAAAAATTTTGAATTTTCTCTCATTCTAAAACAAATCACATGTTACGAACAAAAACCTAACACTCTAAGGGAATATTCCCATAACGTAATATTTCAATATAACACACTAAAAAACTCAAACGTAACAACGTAACACTTAAAAAAAACTCTTTGGTGTAATTTTCCAAAATGTAACACTTCAATGTAATACAAAAAAAAAATGTAATTTTCTCAAACGTAACACTCCAATCAGTGTAATCCCAAACGTAACACTTCAATGTAACATACTCCAATGTGACACACAAAAACATTAAAATACTCATTAGTATACTTTTTCCAAACATAAAACTCACAGTTTGAAATTATACATTTGTCCAAAGCTTAAGGAATATTTATATTACTTTTGAAATGGTTTAAAGAATCTCACATTTTTTTTTTAGTGTTACATTGGAGTGCTATATTTAGGAAAAGTACACCATAAAGTTTTTTTTTTTTTTTTTACATTGGGGGGCTACGTTTGGGAAAAATATACCAAAAAGTTTTTTTTTTTTTTTTTTTTGTGTTACATTAAAGTGTTACACTAAGAAATTTTTTTGGAATATTGTATTGAAGTGTTACGTTTGGAAAAAGTATACTAACGAATTTTTTGTGCATTACATTAGAATGTTACACTAAGGAGTTTTTATATATTACATTAGAATGTTATACTAAATAATTTTTTAAAAATATTATATTAGAGGAATTGGGGTGCCTGTTGTGCACCCAACACAGCAGGCACTGTTGTGTGGCTTTATGGACTTATTTTGGGATTCATTTTGATAATCTGAACCATTCACATTTTAGAATATATTGAGTAAAACATACCTGTAAAAAATAAAGTTAATTGGATATCGTTAACTCTTTCATCCACTTACATTTATATTCATTTTAATACTTAAATTACAATGTCATTTATTGTTGAAGATACAAATATGAGTGAATGAAAGGGTTAATGATATTCGATTAACTTAATTTTTTATAGGTATGTTCTACTTAATATACTCTAAAATGCGAACGGTTCGAATTATCAAAACGGATTTCGAAATAAGCCCATAAAGCCGCACAACGGTGCCTTTTGTGCTCACCCCAAACTCTATATTAGAGTGTTACATTTGGAAAAAAAAATATACTAAAAATTTTTTTGTGTGCTACATTCGATCGTTACACTAAAGAGTTTTTGTATGTGTTACATTTACACTAAAGAGTTTTTTTTTAGTGTTATATTAAGATGCTACGTTTGGTAAAAATACACTAAGAAATTTTTATGTGTTACATTAGAGGGTTACAAACAATAAGAAATTTTTTGTGTATTACATTAGAGTGTTATACTAAGGAGTTGTTTTGGAGTGTTGTATTGAAATATTACGTTTAAGAAAAATACAGTGAGGAGTTTTTATGTGTTACATTAGGATATTACACTAAGATTTTTTTTTTAGTGTTATATTGGAGTGTTATGTTTCAGCGTTACATTGGAATATTACAATTTGAAATTATACATTTGGTCAAAACCTACCAAGTAGTTTTTGTATTCCTTTTGAAATGTTTGAAAAATCTCATACTATTTTAGAATATTTGAAGAATCTCATATTTTAAGTCATTTTTGTATTTTTTTAAAAATATTTTCCAAATAAAAAAGATTTGTATATAAAAATTCATCCCAAATTTGATTCAACCTTACCTTTTTAGCATAAAAGAAAAAAAAAGAAAAAGAAAAAAAAAGGAACATAATAGAAATAAAGGTATAACCGTAAATCTAATTTTTAAATACTATGTTAAATCTACATTTCCAAAATTAATAGGACTAACTGGTCTGTAAAAAAATCATTAGGACTAAATGGATCACTATTCCTCAAGATGAGATTTATAGATAAATTTTCCTTAACTTAATAGATCTCATTACTCATATATGTTATTATTATTATTATTATTATTATTATTATTATTATATGTAAATTAAAATCTTGTTTGGAGAGTGATTAATATAGCAAAAAAGTCACTATAAGTTATCACATTACTCTTTCTATTTTTTTTATATATCTTTTCATAAAATATTAAAAAATCAAATAAAATTACCAATTTCCAGATGAGCCAATAAAATAATATGATAAATATAATATTAATAGAAAATTTGGTGTCATTGTTGTACCCAATTAGGATTCCACACAAGCTAGATTTCATAATCCCAATTGTTATTTTGTAGACCTATCAAATGTATATCTTTCACACCAAAAATTAAGTTGAACATTAGTAACTACATTATCATATTACATTTTGTCTAACAAATTGAACATAAAAATATAATTTCGACAACAGACTGTCTAATTTTTAAAAAATAAATATGATTTGATTACTTAATCATGTGATTATTAATATTTAATAAACCTTATTTTTTACATAAATAATCTATTCAACATGCCTACATAGGCCTATTTGATGGGAAACGTAGATACTGTTGCGCTCTTTGTAGGAGATCGTCTCGAGTGTTTTTCGATGATCTGAACTGTTTAAATTGTAGGATTCGTCGAGTATATCATCCATATAAAAATCAAGTTGATTAGATATATGTAGTCCTACACCAAAGCACATTTGTTTTTATAAAAATTAACGGTTAACATAACTTTCATAAATTTTTAAAAGCAATTAGAACCTAATTATGGGGTTATGAATATCCGATTAACTTGATTTTTTACATAAATAATATTCTTGACGAACTCTACAATATGAACGGTTCAGATCATCAAAAAACACTCGGGATGACCTCCCACAAAGAGCACAACAGTAGCTGCTGTGTCTTAGGCACAATAGTAGGTTTTCGCTATTTGATGCAATTTATTATAAGTTAAAAAGATAATAATAAAAAGCAAAAGTCAAAAAGCACCTTTCCTGTATATTTTAGGTAATCAAATTTTCTTTTCCAATTATTTCTACTTAAGATGTATGCAAAAATTGAACCAAATAATCTAATATAAACTCCTTGCTGCACAAAACAATCTAACTCACTCTTAAAAAAAATTTAAAATTTTTTTTTTTTTATAAACAATGATATTGGATCCAAAGATGTACTCTGTAGCGGTGACCCCACAGCTCGGTTATAGGGTCAAACAATTTGAGATTGGGTTCAAGACTCACCACAGATATTCTGAGTCATCTTACGCACACTAGACTAAATCCCTATAATCCAAACAAGTCTTCCAAAACAAGACTTACGTCCTGCGGTCCGTGGCTCCAAGATAAGCATTTGCTGATTAGAGGATTTGAATCTGAGACCTGAGAGGGAGCAAACCTCCAGACCTCAGTCGTCATCCACTAGGCCAACTGGTTGACTCACCACAGTTACATTGGGTCAAAATCCAATTTTGGGTTCTATGAGCATGGTTTTAGGCATTTTGTTTCATTTAATAATAAAATAACAATGTAATGTTTACATTGGACTTAAGAGGACTAATCTTTGTAATCGCTACCTCTACATTCACTGAATTGAACTATTACTAAAAATAATTCAAAATTAGGTTCAAAATGTTATATTGACAATTTCACATCTCACAAAATATTCAAAATATTAGCATTCAAAACTTTAAAAACATTTGAATGATAAGGTTGTTCAGGATAGAGACTTCAGTATTCGGTTTCATGTATTTGGCATTTGAACCTAACATCTCTCTCATCTCTTAAATTGATTATAATTTTCTTGACTTCTTCATATACATCAATTCTATTCAATAAAACAAAAAATTATAGATTTCTTTTTAGTTGAACTGATTGTTCAATTTAATTTTCATGAAAAGACCAATTAGCTTCACAATATTAGGGCCCACTATGCGACCTATTAATCTCGTCACAAAAATCAATCTCGTCTAGATATCTAATTCAACTAGAGACAAGTTACCAGAGAAAAATATATACATCAATAAAAGAGTTAATTAAACTAAGTCTTCCTTAACTATTAGTAAATGTCAATTTATCCCTCATCATAAAATCATATATTTTGACCCCTTCGATTATAAAAAGAAAAATTAAAAAACAAATCATTTCTATCATTCTAGAAAAGAGATATTTGTATAATTTTTATAACTAATCAGGTCAAAGAGGATAAATTGATATATTAATTATAACTAACCCTCATGAAAAACCTGAAAACATTCGTTCATATATATTACTAGACAAATAATGTAAAAGTGGATACTATTACAAATAATATAAAAATGTAAAAATGAATACTACTACAAATAATGTAAAAATGTTCAAAGGCCCCTTTAAAGAAAATAACAAAAAAAATGCCCCCACTACATATACATATAGGTATACAAAGAGAATAAAATTCATTAAAACTCTAAAATCCTACAATTGCCTAACCAATTATAACGTTGTCGATGGTTGAATATAACTCGAATCTTAAACGTAGAGTTTGAACAAAACTTTATACCCAATATGCAAACACTAAAAAAACTCGATGGCATGTTAAAATATATAGCTAAAGTGTGAAGCATTTGAAAAATAAGATAGAAATGAATTTGAAAATAATTATTAGATTAGAGATTAAAATAAAATAAAAAAAAGGATCATACGAAAAATATAATAAAAATAAAGTTGGAGATAATGATAGGATTGGGAATACAAA